TATGCTTTGTGTAACCTGTTTAGAAATAGGGGCCTTGTACCAGGAAAGGCTGGGTGCACAGTTGAGGAGCAGGTTGCTATGTTCCTCCATGTAGTTGGACACAACCAAAGGTTTAGGGTGGTTCACCAATCCTTTAGGAGGTCAATTGAGATTGTCCATAGGCAATTCCATCAGGTTTTGTATGATGTTGGTGAGCTTAGAAGTGAAATGATTAAGCCTCCTACACATGGCATACATTTAAAAATCCTTGGGAGCCATAGATGGAATCCATACATGCAGGTAATTATAAATTTAACTGTTAAGCCATAACTCACTGTAGGTGTGAACCAATGCACTTATCGCACTTACACCTTTCTTAGGACTGTATTGGTGCCATTGATGGCACCCATGTTTTGGCTAGGGTGCCTAGACACATGCAGCATACTTTCAGGGGTAGGAAATCAAATCCTAGACAAAATGTAATGGCTACTGTGGACTTTGACCTGAAGTTCACTTATGTATTGACTGGGAGGGCTCAGCACATGATGCCCTCATCCTTGCTAATGCCATTGAGAGAAATGATGGGTTCATTATGCCTGAAGGTAACTGAAACCAACTGTCTACTGAACTTATGTCCTTACCATGTCATAGACATTTACCAAGAGCATCTTTGGTGCACTTGTAGGTAAATTCTACCTTGTAGATGCAGGGTATGCCTGCCGTAGTGGCTTCCTCCCTCCCTACAGGGGGTGAGGTACCATCTGTTTGAGTATGGCAGCAGAAACCACCCAACCAATGCAAGGGAATTGTTCAACTTGAGACACTCCTCACTCAGGGTCACAGTTGAGAGGGCTTTTGGGGCTTTGAAGATAGGTTTCGTATTTTGGACAACAAGCCATTCCACCCTTACAAAGACTCAGGTCAAGCTTGTGCTAGCCTATTGCATTCTTCACAACTGGATTCTAGCCTTTGGCATGGACCAAGTAGTGCCACTAGAGGACTGGTTGCCACCAAACTAGCTTGATTCTCAACCTATCCATGAGTGCTATCTCAAGACTTTAATGTCATGTCCACTAGGAGGGATGCCATTTGTACTATAATGTGGAAGGGTAGGGGTACCTCTAGGACCTAATTCATGCATGTTTATTCTTGTATAACTTAGTTTGTTGACCCTGGTATCGAACATGTGGTTTGTGTACTTCTGTTGTAATAATTATTGGACAAGACTGAGACCAATGAGCTTCAATATTGTATATTGTTCTTACTGTTATGGCTTTATGGATACTCTATTGCTAGTTATGGATTTCTTGTCAAAGTTGTGACAACGCGCGGCCCAGCCAGCTTGTTTGGAGTCCCGCGCAAGGAGTTAAGACAGATTTGGCGATCAAGCAAGATCCTAGTCGGTTAGGATAGGAATCCTTATCTGGCCACCTATGGTAATTGTAACTGGCTAGGATTAGTTTCTAGATCTGTAACACTGTCCCCCGAACTATATAAGGCGGGTAGGGGACCCCTCTAAAAATCATCTCATTGACATACAATAATACAATCAGACGCAGGACGTAGGTATTACGCCCTCACGGCGGCCGAACCTGGATAAAACCTCGTGTCTGTCTTGCGTCACCATCATGTTTGTGGCTTGCGCATCTGTCTGCCGACAATCTACTACCTTGGGCATACCCCTAGGTAGACTGCCGACTATATTTCGTCGACAGTGGCGCGCCAGGTAGGGGTCCCCTTTTAGGGGGGTGTGTGCGCTGATCCATGATGAACTAGATGGAATTTTCTTCGCCAATGACGTTAGCGGCAACTCGGGTTCTCACGGCGATGTTCTTTGGCGGACTACGACGATCAAGCCCCGGTGCCAAACGCAACTCGCAACAGCGCTTTGAGCGTGCGGCGGCGGCCCCGTACTTTCTGTGTGTGCTGGATGGGCGACGGATCTTGACTGGGACAGCAAGGTCGAAACATATCCGCACAGGAAGTTGCATCTAGTTGATCCAATCCTTTCGTATCACGGCCGAGGGCTTGCATCGATCCGAGTACCTGGATGTTATACATGAAAAGCTAAGTGATTTTTTACTTTCAATTAACACATCCTACGATACATGTACATCTCCGATTATATCTCTACATATGTCTGCGTGAATACTGCTGGCAGGAATCTACATCTTTCGACGTTGTCATCTCGCACCGTCGACAAGCGTCGCCGGCTCATAGCCATCCATGGCAGCTTTCGTCGTCAACTCCTCCACAATCCGCAGTTGACTTCTGCGGTTCAGCATGGAGGCCCCATCCACGGACTTCGATTGGACATGACGCGGTCATGCACCAAGTAGCCCAGATCCACTTGGTTCAATCATATGCAAGGCAAACCGGAAAGGCGTCATCATCACGTGTTGCCTTACGGCTTACCGTGAAGCTCACGGTGAATTATTGGAACTACAGGATCATGCAAGCCAATTAAATATTGAGGCTTGAATACATGCATGTATACATGCACGGTGCATCTATCAAGCATGCTAGCTAATCTTCAACGATCAAGAAAACGATTGCATGTATTCATGCATATACATCTATAGAGCCATGACGCACACACGTACAACATACGTGTGTATCATGCCCAGTCTCCGCATCCAAGCCGAATAATACAACAAGTATTGGAGCCGCGTACGTGACGACAAAGCTCTCCGACGTCGACATGATCGCCGCGATGATCTTCTGAGGCACGGATGTGGCGTCGGTCCTCCGTTGAACGAACTGCTAAGCGTGCCGTCCGAGCCATCAAGCGAACGGCCCAAGTCATAAGTGAGCCGTCCGTGCGACATCCACCTATTCGGACATCGCGACAGGCCGACTACTCCGCTCGGTCTTCTATCAAAGCGCCATACGGCATCGCTTCTCCGATCAGTCAACGATCTCTCAGACCACGTCGACCACGTCCCCCGAGCTCCGACCACCTCGACCACCAGACCACGTCGACCATGTCCCGAGCGGCTCTGCTGAGCTTCGACCACCTCGACCACCAGACCACGTCGCAATGATGATCGCCACGAAGAGCGGCGCTATGACAACCGCGACCAACGTCACAACAGGCCGAAAAGCTCGAGGACCAGACAACTTCATCACCGCCGACCGGATTTCTATCAAAGATAAGTACACTTCTAATATTTATATTTAATATAATTTTTCATTACGATGTTTCTCCACAAACGTCCTCGTCATGGTTATTCTTCAAATAACGTTTGTCCATGTATACTTAATGCAAATCATTGACTAGTCATGTTGACGCTCGATGTCTCCAGAAAAGACCCTGTCTCCGGCTCCTCCATACACGTGCACGAGCGTCTGCCCTCTGCGTTATGGGTGGTCGGCAGCGGCTCCTTAGCGACGCTTTGTTCTTCCTACATGTGCACGGGCTCCGCGCCCCGCGTTATGGTTAACGGGCTAGCTAGGGCTGAAGACTCAGCTACATACTAACTGGTCGGGCAGTTTATATTAAGTATAAACACAAACTTCATTTTAACACTGATGCTTACAAAGCACCAACTGCTTTATCACATCATGCTCATTTGCAAATGACTGCTGAGCGTCATACGCTATTTCTTCACTGTTGTTTTTTCTCCATAAATTATTATTTTGTACATCATATACTACCATTCTACATATTTATATTGCAGTAATTTCGAGCTATGCTCGAAGACTTCGTTGCTCGCTTCTCGATCTACGCTCGGGGACTGCCTCGATCACTCTCCGACCACAGCTCGGGGACTTCGTCGCTCGCTCCTCGACCTGTGCTCGGGGACTGCCTCGACCACTCTCCGACCACGGCTCGGGGACTTCGTCGCTCGCTCCTCGATCTGTGCTCGGGGACTGCCTCGACCACTCTCCGACCACCGCTCGGGGACTTCGTCGCTCGCTCCTCGACCTATGCTTGGGGACTGCCTCGACCACTCTCCGACCACGGCTCGGGGACTTTGTCGCTCGCTCCTCGACCTGTGCTCGGGGACTGCCTCGACCACTCCCCGACCACGGCTCGGGGACTTTGCGTCTCGACTACATGCGACTGGCGACTCGCATACAATTGGGATATTTTTTCTCACTTAGACCTTACTACAAGGCTCATACCTCACCTTCCAGCAAGCTTGGGGACTACATCGGTACGATGCACCTGCCGGTGCATCTCGTATCGCCTGTACAACGATTGGATTCTCAACTTAACTGGGAATTCTTTTTAGACCCTGGCACCACGTGCCTACGTCACCTACTACTAGGCTCGGGGACTAAGTGGGCACACTTCACCTTGCGGTGAATGTGCTTGTTTTTCGACCACTACGCCTCTAACGATCAAAGACGCTACGCTTCAAGACACCCTTACATTTCTTCACAGAAACCCAAGTGGGCACACTTCCCAGGACATAAATCTTTTTCTTTCTTCTTAAGAGCACCATACATTCTTTGGACAACCTACTTCTCCGGCGACAACGGTGGTCGAAGATGTCAAGAACTCAAGCCTCACTATTCGGAGAAGGTTAGAATGGCGTGTCGTATCAGAATACATGGCGCTCGGGGACTAGCTGTGGGGGATATACCCCCGGGTACCACAAGATGGTACATGGGTCGCACCATCCGAGGTGGCCCGGTCCGTAAGATCGAGGCGTGCACAGCAAGATTACAAGTTGTACTAGATATTATAATAGTACCAAATATGATACTTTACTTGTAACCCTCCTCCTCCAGACTATATAAGGAGAGGCAGGGGTCCCCTAGTCGATATCTCGAACATACCTCAATCAATACAAATAACAGAGCACAGGACGTAGGGTTTTACGCCACACTAGCGGCCTAAACCTGCATAAATCTTGTGTCTTGTGTCTCTGTAACCATCTGGTTCCTGATTACGCGCATCCTACCGATAATCTACCACCACGGGCACCCCCCTCGGTGGACTGCCGACCATATTTCGTCGACAATGAAAGACATCCATACTATGTTAATGTTTCATTGGTTAACTAAATAGGATGGCTTCAGCTCCTATTGAGGGTGGGTTTGTGGCTGCTGCTGAGGTCATGGCTGAGGTTGTTGGGGCTGAAGCAGCTCCTGCAACTGATGTTGCAGCTGCTGCAGCACCAGCTGCTGGGCCCATGAGGTGGAACAACAACACCTCTGGGTTTGTGCTTAGGAGGATGGCCCAGTTGCTTAGTGATGGCACTAGACCTAACAAGGTGTTCAAGGACAAGGATGTTAACCTTGTAGCCAAGTGTCTTAAGGACTATAGTGGGAATGCAGTGAGCCCAACTCAGGTGTACAACCACCTAAGGAAGTGGAGGCAAAAGTGGTCTAGAATTTGTAAGCTAAAAGATCTTAGTAGTGCCATCTGGGACAGTGATGTCAATGCAATCATGCTTGATGGGGAGCACTACCTAGGCCACTGCAAGGTAGAACACTTGAGTTGCTAATCATGCCACTATGTCTTACCTATCTTACCTCATCTGCAACTGTATCCCCTACTGCAGGACCACCCTAAGGATGCATATTTCCTTAACTGTCCTATAAGGTTCTACTCTAAGATGGATGCCATATTTGGGCATTCTATGGCCACTGGTAGGTACGCACTTGGTTCTGGTGAGGCCCTTGAGGTGAACCAGGCTGATAGTGCAGCTGCTAAGGTTGAGGGCTCTGCCTTCCACCATGTCCCTAAGGAGAAGACCGACACTGAGGTTGGGGAGGGCAGCAAGGCCACAGAGCAGTTGCATTCTACTGTGGGTGGGAAGAGGAAGAGAGGGAACTTCACTAAGGATGAGATGCTCTTGCTGACCAACATGTCTGATGCTGTCAACAATGTTGCCAATACACTTAGGGAGACAGGTGCTGCACATGTGGATCCTGACCTCTATCTTGCAGTCATGGCGATGCAAGGCTTCACCACTGAAGCCCTCATTGTTGCCTACATCTACCTGCTAGAAAACAAGGCCATTGCCATAGACTTTGTGAAGATGGCAATCAGCCATAGGGACATTTGGCTGAGGAACTACCTTGCCAAGAACTACTATATGTAGTTGTGTCCAATTAGGACAGCAAGACAAAGAGGGGGTTGACTGTTGAGATGTATAGTTTCTCCACCTCCCTCACCCACTCTCTTACCTTTTGTACACACCTAGGTGTAGCTTTTATCCAGCTTAGTTGGCTGATTCACACCTGTCCTTTTTGGTTAGTGTAGTTGAAGGTTAGCTGACTATAGGTAACATTAAGCAAGATGGACCTTATTTGAGCCTACATGTGTGAGGTTGTACTGGTATCCGTAATGCACTATTAGTGACCTCTGTTGGCTGCTGTATTTGGTACTGTTCATGGTTTCTTTTTTTTCTATTGGATTATGTTCTTTTGTCTCCATTTACTACATCATCTGTCACTTATGTGTGTTACTTATGACCTATTGGTTTTGTTTCTTTTGATTGGTGGTAACTGTGGGAAAAGTGGTCTAGGATTTGTCATGTATGTCATCACATCCATGTGACACATCAATACCCTAGCAACAACCCCTTCTTTCTTGTGCTAATGGTAGTGTATAGATGTGCACATGGATTCCATGGCAGCCATGAGCTTGGATTTGCTGCACTACTGGTTTTTATTTTCTATGGCAACCACCAATGATTTGAATTGAAAGAACACGACCACATTCTAAAGCTGAGGCCAACCTTTTATTACAATGCATGTGATGTCAATTCTCTTATGTATAAACTTGATGATGCTGGTCATCAGTGGGGGACTTAAGATCAACGATTTGTTTCACCGCAAACCGTAGATCTTCAAGTTCCACACTCATGTTGTTTTCAATGGGAAGGGTCCTGGGAATTACCTGAGTTGGCAGGACTGCAGTAATCATGTTCTTGGGGTGAGAAATGCTATATACAAGAAGTATAACAACTATGACCAGGCTATTAGAGATTATCAAGAAGCCATCAGAGGTGTCCATACATCTCGTGGAGCAGCACCTCCCCTCCCCTGTGATCCTGTCCCTCATGATGCTTTTGCTCCAATCATTCCTCCTTCTAATGGTAATAGTAAGGCTGGTTGGTGGAAGAAGGTGTTAATCACCTCACTTGTTATCTTGGTGGTTGGACTATGGATGAAGGGGGGCAAAACTGGCAGCTACGACTACCCCACTTAGGCCTGTGATGACTACAACTATATGATGGATGAGCTGCTGCTGTGCCTTACTGATTTCTGTCTTCCATTTATGTTACCTATCTCCTTTGTGTTGTTCAAGGACTGTTGATTACTGATTAGGCTGCTGATGTTGTTGTTTTGCCTTGCTTCATTGGTACTTTTGTAAAGTTAGAGCAGCTATGACTCCATGCTTATTTACCTAATTAGTTTGAGGCCTGTTGGTTATGTGATGTTGCATTACTATTATCTATCTTCTATCTGTTGATTTCTGTTGTCTGCTCTCCATGGTTGCTGGCCTGGCCGGGGATCAAACAAGATCTGGGAATGGCAGTTGGTGGTAGTTGGCTTTGGGCCTGGCTCTTAGCTGTGGAATCAAACACAATCTTCTTTGGGCCTGGTCAGTTTGGTACAGGCCACCAAATAAGGGGCCTTGCATTGGGTCAGCCAGACTGTGGCTGGTCTAGGCGTGGCCTGGTTGCCTTCAGGCCTTGCAACTATTTCAATTCAGATTTAATATAAAAAAAACTATTCAAAATTTCGGCAGCGTCTTAGCATAATTTTGATAGCATTATGACTAGGCCTAGGCGTTCGGTTCTAACCGAAATTTTGGGTCTGTTTTTTCGGGTCGGTTCTAACCCAGCCTCATAGGTAGCACATCGACACAATTTATATTCTCATGGAACAAAATAGAGAGGAGATCGAGTCTTGTATATACATTATTGAGCACACAAGTGGGGAGATTGAGTATTCGAGTCTTAGACTACATAGATGCGAGATTCCAGGCTACGACAACTCTGTTTGTACTGAAGCCAGGCTGCTGCTTCCTGATTTCCGGTCATGCTTCTTTGCTTCTTCCTTTAGGACCTGGCGGACGCAGGAATCTATGGAGCTTGCCGAATCGCCGTCGCTCGTCCCTGCCTTGGCACACAGCACTGCAACGGTGTTGCTTGGAGGCTGGCATGGCGGCACCGGCGGATCCGTGGCAAGCCGACAGCCCCCACGCTTGCTCTGCTGGTGCGCTCGCTACTCACGCTCGGTGTGGCCTGTGGCGGGCGATGCCGGGACGTGCAGTCGGACGCCACTAGAGCCCCGCGGAAGGGTGCCGCCACCGCCTGGCACGCACACGCCGAGACCCGCAGGCGGGCGCCGCGACCTCCCCGTGGCCGCCTGGAGGAAGCCGCGCGCCCCGCCGATGCAGCCGCCGTGGCCAGGAGGCAGCCGCGCCCCGCGCCCTGGAGGCAGCCCCGCCCCGCTGGCTCTTTTGCCGTTGCCGCCGCCGGAAGCCCGCGACCGGATGCAGCCGCGTACGAGACTTGGGATGAGGCGACCCGTGCTTCTGTTTGGGATGAGGCAATAAGGATAGAGGGTAGTGTGGTCATTTCGCCTTTGCTTTTTAGATTTATAATTTTTTTAATTCGTTTAATCCATGTCCATCTGACGGACGTCTAAAGCAGGGGCAAATGGACCATTCATTTCAAAATAGCAGGGTTAAAAATACAAAGTTGAAAAAGCAGGGGCAAAATCACAGTTGAACTACTGGACAAGGGCAAGAACATAATCAATTTTCCCTATAGTTTATTAGTGATGTCTATATGATATGGTATGCCACAAAAACTACTAAGTAGTTTCTTTTTCAAAACTGCCTGACGAAACTTCTTTTAAAATACATCTTTTATATTTTGATATGATTCCAAATAAGATAGAGCATTGGTCTTTTCAATCGTTTGCTTTCAAGAGGATGGTCTGTCCAAATTGGAGATTGCTGACTCGTCACTGATACCAAGTGGGCCATGTTTGGATGTGCACACTGCACACACTGGTGGTACCAAGCTACTAACAGTTTGTCTTTGTTTCTTGTCACGTCCAAGCTCTGACTGAACCCATCCATCCAAACAATCCAATCCATCTGCTTTCCCCCACTTTCTCTTCAATCTGATCGTGCGATCAACCCGCTATCCATCGCCCTCTTCAACCTAGGCCTCCACAACTGCATAACTCCATTGGAAGTTTGGATAAGCCTTTTCTTCCTTCTCTGTTAAGGTTGGCAATTTGGCATCTTCTTCTTTCCCTCCTCTTCATTCAGTCAGATTAATTTGTCGAGACCTTTCTTTTTATTGCGGTCTACCTCGATCGAGGTAAATTATGGAGATGAAAGTGTCCATTTCGTACAAAAAGCCAAAGCTAAAAATGACCCTCGTTTACTGGTCGCATTCAGCCGTCATCTATCCATCCAGATATGAGATATGCTTGCAGGATTTCAGATAATTCAGACCCTGTTGCTGTTGCGGGAAAGATGAGAGAGGTGCCGCCTATCCGAGAATACTCTGGCCTCTGATCTTTCATTGGACGGACGAAGGATATCTGGATAGGCCTCGACGACCATTATGCATGCGTTTTGGTCTGCATTTTAGAGTATGTTTGGCAAGGTTTAGAGGGGCTCCGGCTCCTCTGAACCAGCTACTGTAAGTAAGGAGCCGTTTTTTTCTCTTTTCGCGAAATGAACTGCAGCCTAAAGAAACCACGTTTTCTGGCTCCTCTGACATTATAGCATGAAGCCGAAGCCCAAGAGAGCCCAGCCAGAGAGGATCTTAGGGCCTGTATGGCGGGGCTGTCGGCCGCCCACGGGCCGACAGGAAGCCCGAGCCGTTTTGTCTCTCCTCTTTACTCCTCTCACAAACCCAGGCGGAGCCGGCGGAGCTCGTTTTTCGGGCTCCGCGGCTCCGGCTCCGGCTCCGCCTGGCACCTATCGGCCCGTGGGCGGCCGACAGGGGCGGAAGCCGGAGCTGCCAAACAGGTCCTTAGTCGTTCGTTCGATTCTGGCCCCGTTCGATTGTCTTAAATTTGGCTTGTTCGGCTTGTTTTTTCAGCCGAAACAGTGTTTTTCTCTCACAACAATTCAGCCGGAACAGTATTTTTCAGCCAGTTTCAGCCAAAGTTCAGACCAGCGAACGGGGCCTCTGTGCAGATAGATACTAGTCACTGGATGGACGAATGCAAGCTGAATCACGTGTGCCACTTTATCTCCGGTATGAAACATGTCGGCTGACTGATGACTGATGACTTATCTCCAGCAGTCCAGTGGGAAAAGGCCACCACGCCCACCACCACCTTTCCACCGAAAACGACGGGTGCTCGCTCGCTCTGATTGAAAGCGAGAATAATGCACCTCATCTTATTAGGAAGGACGGTGAAAGCAAACCAACAACCAACCACTAGAAGATAACCCAGACTTCTAGAGAATTCAGATCTTCTATCTTCCATAGATAAACTAGGATGACTGATGTAACAGATTGAAAAGGGGATCAAGTTAATCGCAGCTAGTATTCATCCATCAGCAAAGGCCCCGAAACTGTTTAAAACCCTTGGAACGATTACTCTCTCTCTCTCTCATATAACTCTCGTCTCTGAAGAGTTAAACAATATTAATAAGTATGATCAAATATATATAATATAATTATGCATAAAGTACCATTAGACTAAGCAGGCACTACACCAAAACAGTAATTATTGTCGATATGTTACTGTCGGGTAATTCGTGACAAGGGTATCACTGCCGGTTTGTAACAACAGCCCTATCGTTGATTGATTATAAAATCACGCGATAGTGATAGATAGTTAATACGATCGGCTGGTATTAAAAACCAACATAATAGGTACCACTTACAGGTTTAACAGTTTAGTCTAGATTCGCCGCTGACAGCAATGTTGTCTTTCTGAAAATAAAATGCAATCGAGTTAACTCGAACCTCAAATCTAGCCCTCCAAACTGGTTAAATCCGGCTACTCTCAATTCTGATCCCCATGCATCGCTCTGTTATCTGATTCTCTCGCCCCCGTCTCTGCCCCTGTTCTCTCGTGCAACTCCTGGTGACAGCGCCCTGGCGCCGGC